ATAAATAATGGCAATTCGCTCCTAGGGAAAATAATGATTATGACGACTTTATAGCAAAATAAAAATCATAAAAAATTGCAATAAAGTAATGAACCCCAAGTCAGAAAAGATGGTAGTTACTCCTGTGAGGATAGGTGAGGGATGTGACTGGGATGACCACAGGGCAGCTTCAAGTATTGGAAATATTCAATTACTTAAGTTAGGAAGAGGCCACAGGAACCTGCCTTAACATATATATGTTATATATTACTTTACACATATGACATAGTTCATATTAAAAAATAAAAATATCTTTTGAAGAAATTTTTAACCTCCACAAAGTCTTTCTCCACAGTCTTTTTTTTTTAAGATTTTTTATTTGACAGAGCGAGACACAGCAAGAGAGGGAATACAAGCAGGGGGAGTGGGAGAGGGAGAAGCAGGCTCCCTGCAGAGGAGGGAGCCCGATGCGGGGCTCGATCCCAGGACCCGGGGATCATGACCTGAGCTGAAGGCAGATGCTTAATGACTGAGCCACCCAGGCGCCCCTCTCCACAGTCTTCTTAATGTTTCCTAACAGATATAACTTTATCCAGAGTATTGTAATTGTATTCTACATTATAGTTATTCATTACTTTTATCTAAGCTCATCTTCATCTGCTTATAGTACCGAGGCTAGTGTCTTATATATAGCATGAAATTAAAGTGGTATTCTGTAAACTATGTATACTTTAGCTGAATTAAATTATTTCCATGGGGGCACAGTTTCTAATTATAAAAATAAAAAAGGCAAGGATAGCTATAGTTCAAATCTGATAATGCCACAATTTGTTATATTTAAAAATGCAAATTATCTGTTTATTACATTATATCTCCAACATTTGCAATCTAAAAACTTGCAAAGTGCCATTTTTAAAAACAAGTTTGCTATGAATTTCCCTCTGGTTATGAAAAATTAAATTTTTACTTAATCCAATTCTACTTAAAGAATGAAAAGTAGTATAATTGATTGGATAATTTTTAAATGATTAAATATGATAGGGACAACGAAATTAGGTAAATATGCTCCAAATCTGATACATTTCTGTATGTAAAAACTTCTAATTTAAAAGAAAGTTGCCAGAATCCATGTTCAAAAAGTGTTTATCAACACATTTCAGTTTTGCTTGTTGTTTTCAATATATGCACCCAAATGGAAACTCAGGTTTTCAACTATATTGTGTTTTAACATATGTCACTCGAATTTTGTATATTATTTTAATTGGCTCAACAAGAATTTCACTAATCACCTACTATGTACAAAATAGTGTGAGGGGTAAAAGGAAGGCTAAAAAAAAAAATGGTTAAGGTGCAGCTTCAGTTCTCAAATGGGTTACCTGTCTAGGGGAGCCAACTATATTTAATGAAAGCAGAAAGATGGAAGTACCTTAAGAATAAGTGAGGGAATTGGCACTTGTTGGATGCCTACTTGAGCCAATGTATCTCATGTTGTGTATCTCATACTGGCCCAAGAAAGGACCCAATAAATGTTTATCCTTCAAAGTACGGTAAATATCATTTAGATGGGTGGAAAAAATGGAGAATCAGACAGGCACTCTTTCCATTACATTAAAAGAAGCCCCAAGAAGGGAAAGATAATTTTGTGGTGAGGGGATGGGATATGTATATCTGTGTGTGGGGCGGCATGGAATCATTTTGGGAAGATTCCACAGAGATAATGGGGCAGAGAGCGCAGTGAACCATCTACTAAAGGCAGCTAGGATGGATGGGGCATGGCAAGGTGTCCACCTGGGTTAGAAGTCTGAAATATATGAAAATCTAAGTGGGGCCCTTAAATGTCATGGTTATTGTATTGACACTAATTTGTGTCACTTTGGGTTTTTAAATGTAGGTATGCTATAATTAAGGCTTTGCTGGAGGTGGGTGGAGTGGATCTGAGGGAAAGAGGCCAGAGGTTCAGAGCTGCAGGATGGGGAGGGATGTCGTAGTAGAGACGTTGCCGGAGACTTGACTAGAAATGACTATGCAGGAGCTTGGAAGAGATACGTCTGAGGGTGCAATAAAGATATTTAAGCTAGAAGGACCAAAAACTGTATTGATTGCAACAAAACAAAGTTATAAAATGTCATTTTCCTCTAATTTCCAGACAGCTCCTCACTCAAATCAAAACATGTTGTTTACCATGTAATCACATAATATCACCAGCTGTTTGCATTCCTAGTAAGGCTTTTTACATGCCTTTCTCAAACTCAAATAGGAAAATTCCCTTTGCTGAATATTATTGCCAAAATATGACACGTGAAAAAAATGGGCATCGAAACCTAACATACACATTCACTTCTGACCCTCGGAAAAATCAAGACTATAGTTTAAGATTTATTTAAAGCTTTGGAAATCACTTTTATTTTCACTTTGAGTCAAGTCTAATCTTTCAACACAGCTTTTACTTCTGAAAATGAACTCAATTTTCCCCCATCCCCGCCTGAAATTATATTAGTGTTAAATCATCCATGCAATCTTTGGCATCACTAATCCAAAGGCTTAAGAACTTTAAATATACACAGATACTGAAGAGAGTCTTTACCTTAGAGAAATCAGGGTGTGGTACAGATAATACTCTTAATACTGTAAAAGATTTTTCTATCATTGACACTAATTTTTCAGAATATTACCACTGGTGAAGTAAAAGTGAGATCTGACAAAAAGTTTGCAGGCAGGTAACATTTATTTTTACATTAACAACTTAAAATCTCTAGTTTTAAGTTCTGCCTTATCATTTACATTGAATGAGATACATTATTTGCATTGGGGGTGGTTGTGTATGTTCTTCTCTTTTCTGGAACAAGATGTTAGGTAAAAGAATACCAAGTTTAAGAAACTCAGAATACCAACCTCTAGCCGCCTTGTTAATCCATTCATCTTTTGGTATTTGCAATAATGAAGACTAAGTAAAAGAAGTATATGAATTTAAGAAAATAAGTCATCTTTGACCAAAATCATCTGGGTTTTAAACAGACTTGAGGGGCGCCTGGGTGGCTCAGTTGTTAAGCATCTGCCTTCAGCTCAGGTCATGATCCCAGAGTCCTGGGATAGGGCTCCCTGCTTGGCAGGAAGCCTGCTTCTCCCTCTCCCACTCCCCCCCTGCTTGTGTTCCCTCTCTTGCTGTGTCTCTCTCTGTCAAATAAATAAATAAAATCCTTAAAAAAAACCCGAACAAACAAACAAAACCAGAATTGAAGTACCATAAAGGATGGGATTTGAAAGATACTTTCAACACTGAAATTTTATGATTCTGTAATTTCAAAACATTATTTTATACGGTCAGAATTACACACATTCCTGGTGAAATAATTTTGCCACGTTTACATTTTCTGACTTTTCATATCCCTGCACACACATGGAAGTAGAGGGTAAGGGACAAAATGTAAATATATGCACATATTCTTACTAGGCTATGTGTACTATTTTTCTACCTTTCCCCCTTCTGTTCACACTTTAACGCTAAGGTCTATACAGGGAATGAATTATATGAACTGAATCGGAAATGTATGCCTGTACACAGATGTATGTACAGACACACACATAATTAACTCCAGTATCCTAACTCCCAATGATAACCACCTTCTTTATTTTTTGGATTTGCTCTTCCCCACCCATCCCCAGCTTATACAACGAAGTGATTCTGCCTTTTAAGCCTGTATCTTTCTTCTTTCTCCCTTTCCTCTAGATCTGGGGAGTTGCCTTACTCGAACATTTCTATTCTTTATCTGTCAACAATTAAAAAAAATCTGCAAGTATTTTTTCCCCTAATATATGATGTATTCCCTTCTTTTAACCACATTACCCAGATTCTGGATATTAACCTTGACCTTCCCCTAATTTCCTTCTCTCTCTGGAATGGAGTCTTGTACTTTTTCTATCTTTTGTCATTCTATTAACATGCCTGTGGCTGTTGCCAAAGGAAGGGAGTGCAGCTTGGAATGCTTTTCCACGTGCAGAAAAGCACTTGCTACAGAGCATATTTATGGTCAGCCCGCCACTCAGCTCTGAGAAAGAGCTGTTAGTACAAGAACTGCCACGATGACATAATTTCTTATAGCATCCTTCACTCTTACGGTTAAACTCCCTTCCTTCACTCCCTGCCCCACCCAGAGGGAAACTTCACAGTGCTTCTAGTAGAGGCAAGTTTTTCGTTTAAACACTGTGCATTTGTTGATATTTTACCATTTTTCAAACGTGTCTTTTCATGTTTCATCCAGACGTAGTGCAGTGTTAAGGGGCTGTTTACCGTGATCAGACCAGGGGTGGGGTCCGGAGCCGCTTCCCCAAATAGAGACCCCACCCTGCAACGGCCCCTCCGCCTCCAGGTCCCATTTCCCTTCGGGGTTCCTGATTCCTGCCGCACTCACGTCTTAAGATGTGGGCATCCCTCGCCTTCCTGCTCTCACAGCTTTCGTCTTCTAAGATGACTTTGCTTAAGGAGTGGTCTACAATTTTCAGACGCTGTCACACTTATCCCATTTGTTCTTCTTCGGAACCCCGAGAACAGGGCAGAGCCCTCCTCTCAATCTTGTTTTATGTCTAAGACGCAGGCCCACTGACTCATCCTGTGAGGATTAGAAGTGGGCTGTGGACTCATCGTCCACGCTGGACCACCTTTCACATCATTCCTCACGTACAGATTGTGGCAGGTGGCAGAGACTGCACCAGGCGGTACACTGCCTTTGTTTTCATTAATAACGCACACTCGGCCTTTAGAAATGTTTGGAAAATGCCACACAAAATGTAGAACACGGCTTTTCCTGGCTAGAAGTCGTTCCTTTGCTCTCATTTCCTGTTTCTCGGCCTCTCCCTTGTTTCTCTTCCCACCCCACTTCATGCCACATTACAGCAAATCTTGCTCTCCTAACATAAACTTCCCCTTCGCAGCCTTCCCACTGCCGGGGCGGTTTCCCGCGCCGGGCGGGCTCAGGGGCACCGCGCAGGGGTGTCCGCGGGCCCGGGAGCCCCAGCGCGCTCACCTAGGTTTGCAAGAAAAGTGGCGCTCGCATCTCCACCGCGGACCGCCGCGCCCGGCCAGCCCCCCCTCCCCAACCCCCGCCCGTCCGCTTCCGCCCGGTCTCCTCCCCGCCCCCGCCGACCCTCCGGCGCGGCGCTGACCTCGCGCCCTCCGAGCCGCGGCGGGAACGGGCGCCCCGCCGCTGCCTCCTCTCTCCCGCCCCAGAATCCCGCGGATCCGCTCCCCCGGGCGCGGGGGCGGGGCGGGAGGGGCCGCCAGGGAGGGCTGCCAGGACTCAGCTCCCGGCCGCCCGCTTCTCGTGCCTCCCTACTGGGGCACAGGGCCGGGGGCTGGACTCCCCTACACCGCGACCCCCACAGCCCTCGGGGCCTCGGCAGAGGTCTGCAGCTCCAGCTTCCTTCCGCTCCTGCAAGTTCGCCTGCTTTCCCGAATAACTAACGAGGACAGGCGCCCCTTCTGCCGGGCTTCCTAAGGGAGGCATGCGTCTCCCCCCGCCCCCATCCATCCCAAGGTGAAGCACCCGGAGGGAGGACGCCCCCGCTTCGCCCGCAACGTGCGCCGCTCCCGAACCCAAACAATGATTCCCTCTTCCTTCCTCGCCCAGCCCTCCGCCCGCCCCACCCCCGCGCGCACCCCAGCATCGAGGGCACCGCCCGCCCGGACTGCCCCTGCCCGGACCCCATTGTTGCCCGACCCGGGCAATGCCCGGCGCCCGGGGGCGGTCCCCGGGAGCCACC